ATCGCCGACTTCTCCAGACGCCTGCAATTCAAGATCCGGCTCCTGGCTACACGGAAGACGTACTCGAGGAGGTTAGTAAGTAGGGCAAATAATCGGAATTCATGTACGTTCACTCTTCTTCGAAGCCCATAGTCGCATCTGCCGTGGCACACACTCGACCTTTATTGTGTTCGGTAGCTTGAACTTCTTCGAGGCGCCCAACCCATGCGTAAACGATAACGGTGGCCCGGTGTGAACAGGCATCCTCAAGGCCGAAGCCTTGCGCTCTTCCAGTTGAGCTACACCGTTGGAGGGGGTGGGGCACTCGTTACGACAGATCTGGGTAGTAGCGAGGAAAAAAGTAAGACTGACGGCCGACGCCCATTGTCGGCGACGCTATGATTGAAAGTAGGAAGCTGCTCACCACTAGTTTTCTTTATCAATCTTACACACAAGTGGCGCAGAGAGGTAACCAATAGGCAGTGGTAGCTGTGACGACTGGCTATCGCTTGTATTTAATAACCGGACAGTGGTAAATTTATCCGGACGATCGTGAAGATCCAGCCTCATTGTTGAATTTGCCAGGTTAGGAGCACATGGCTCTCATGCCAAAAATGCATAGAAATACAAACTATCGATTTTCTTAGCCCAGAGGGCGTTTCAGGCCATTTCCTGCCGCCTATAAAACAGTCTGTTTGACCACGCTTTAACTATCACATCAGCATTTGACTCCCCTAATCATCGTACCTATCTGAGATAAACTGTGTGCAAAACAGAAAAATGTGTGCAGTACACAGGTCCGATAAGGTCATCTGGTCCGATATTTTTTGGTATGGATAAAACAAGTACGCTGGATCCTTGTCGCGATTTAAGTGTATTACTCAAAAGCGAGCTTACCCTAACTCCAAAACAGTTTTCTCCATTTTTTTGTAGTATATATTCAGATTTTTCGATTTGGTATACCAAAATATCACCTTCATGTCGGCAGCAAGCACGTATGCTTCGACTTTGAGGGCGACGGGTTTCTGCAACGAATTGTCCGTTGGTGGTACCGACGCCCACAGCGTCATCAGCCCCAACTCGCTGCAGCTCGACTCGCCGCATGAAGCGATGGTGACACTACCAAACCACTTGAATCTGCTACTGTCCGCGAAGATCTCGGAGCGTTTGCGGATACACCGCACTCAATCACCAGCGACTGCTCAACCTGTGCAACGCTGCTTTATTTTATCTGGCCTTCACGAACCCCGCCACACTCGAAGTGCAATAGAAGTCGGTCAACAAGGTACGCTAACACCTGGTGCAGCCTTGACAACAACTAGCAGAACGCATGATCACGCGCGCAGGAGGTAACCCTCTTCATTAGTTCTCTCTCCAAGAAGCAATAACACGTAATAAAATTGCAGAATTATACGACAGGTAGGGAGACATCGAGACGAACGGGGGGAAGGTGCGATCATATTGTTATATGGTGACTCGATAACTGGCCACACAAAGGAGGCTGTTAAGCCTCATACCTCGAAGCTTCGGATC